GCTGCTGCCACTGGTTATCTGTCTCAGACATTTCCTAATTACAAATAAAATACATTGCGGGACACATTTATTAGTAGCTTTTTCTAAAAATAAATATTATTTATATGAATATTACTGTAGAATATTAAAATAATTTTTGTTTTATTTCATGCCAACAAAAGTTTGTTGGTAATGACAAAACTTGCATCATTTAGTAAATACAATGTCAATGATATGACATCAATCCATGAACATTATAGTAATGATTACCAAATCTGCTCTTCAGTAAACTTAAGTATTTCAATTCATTTACAATTGAGAGTATAGAATTACAATACGAAAAAAGAATAAATTAAAAAATAAATTCTGCCCTCTACAAACGCTTTAAAGGCTCGTTTGTTTGTTGTAAAAATTGTTAATAAAAGTACTAGAAAATTGAAATATCCACATTGAAAAACCAAAACAATTTTGTTTTTTATTGTAATAACAATAATAGTAATAATAATAATAATAATAATAATAATAATAATAATAATAATAATAATAATAACAAAATAGTGCTTGATATCGATTATGGTAACAACTACATAAAATTTAACAATATTAGTGCATTCTGTGTTTAAATCTTGAAATGGCAAGGAGAAGGAGGCAGGTTTTTACCAGTTTGTTTTTCTATTTGTTCACCGTGTCTTACTGCAGCACCAAATGCATCTAGCTAATCCAGAGTGAAGTTTACTACTGCATGCAAAGTTTTGTGAGTTTCTTTTTCTAATGATTGTTGTGTTTACTTTGATGATTATGTTTGTGCTTTGCAAACAAAATGATCTTGTAATCCCTTAAAGCCAAAGGTTTGTCATATATGGATGTACATAAGGAATAGTATTAGCCCAACTTAAACTTATACAACAGCCCTATTTATATGTTTTACAATTATAAGTTCAGAAATCCAACTCTGCAATCAGAACAGACAAATAATATTCTAAAAACATTTTTGATATTGAAATCCTAATCTAGTTTAGACAATGCAGGACCTACATTAACAATATACATAAACATTTCATAGAAGTAATGAAATCAGTTATCGTCATCAATATTGATTATTGACATTTAATTAATTTTTCTTTTAATTCAATCATATTATAAAATGTGACTGAATTTTGAAAATCAAAAGAGATTGTTTTTAAATTTAGCCTACATTACATTTTCAGTAATGAAGTTACAATGATCTGCTTCAGTTTCCAGATTTGTCCCTAAATCACCTAGAAATAGAAGCACAAAATATAAATGTGAATTATTAGTATATTTGAGAATAAGAATTTATGAAAATATGCAGATAACATTTTTGGAAAATCTTATGAAAAAACAAAAGAATGCCAGTATGTCCCATAAAAACAAAAATAAAATTTAAATTCTAACAGACAAAATAACTCGGACAACACTTGGGCAGGTCTATTTCAAATCTTTGAAATTTTTGATAGTTATTCTGAATTTGTTTCTGTTTTATTAATAAACATGGTTTATCATATATTTTATTACATATATTTAATTGTAAAAAATGTACAGGCACTACTTGCATTTAAATGGTCCTTGACTGCAGGGTTTTTTACGCGGGGGGGGGGGTGCACTGTAAACAACTGAACAATTTTTGTCTGTAGCGAGACCCTAGAGTACCTTTTCAAAAATATTTTTAAGATTCGAAAAAGAGCCAATACTTTTGTTTTGAAATTTAAACACAAAACTTACAAGGTAGATAAAACCAAAATCAATTACTTTCGGTCATATTAAACGCACATCCATATCCCACCCATGTCACATGCAGTACGTATCTTCGGGCGGATGAATGCTGTCATTCTCTCATCCAATTAAATATAGAACGCTGTAGCCCCTTCCATTGTATTATCACTCTTGTTTTTCAATTATTTTCAACCATTCAATTCATGATTTTATATTTGTTCTTAAACTTCTGAACACTACTTACTACGTTGAAATCCGTTTGCAGGTTATGTCATGCCTCTTTTGCTATGTAACTTTACATACAATAATATTCGCGCATGTGTTGATGACAATTGTGAAAATATCAATTTCTTATATCAGGGGCGGATCCAGTGACAAATTTTTGGATGGGAATTTTTTTAATTCAAATTTTTGGGCGAATGTTTTATATTACAAAATAAGTAGAATGACGTGAGCTAAACTCCACTCATGTTACGATACAATTTTATTCGCTTTAATGTTTATACTGATTTTGTTTATACAAAGAATAAATTTGAGGTGAAAAATAAAAAAAAATTAGGTTTTGAAAACTTTAAAAATAGTGTATATTTTATTATTAATATCTACAAATAAAAACAACATAACTTACCGGAAAATTTAAAACGAAATTAACAAACAGGTCGTGAAGGCAGACAGCCAAAAGTATTGAAACAGCCACATGATCGGCGGTGAAAATTAAATAAAAGTGTAAATGTAAACAAATTAATATTTGGTGAGATGTGCTTTGGCTTCTAGACGTCTTGGTATTAATTTTACGAGCTTTGCCGTCATAGATGGCAATATACTGTTCCATTCCTCCTAGAGCGCGCGCTTAAGAAAATTTTTGTACTAAATTGGTCTGTTCCTATATTTTTTCCTCAGAATATCCCATAAATATTCAATGGGATTAATGTCTGAAGCTTGTGGTGGCGTTTTCAGATATTGTGGTGTATTAAGTAAGATCCGCATTCTTGTATTTCTAGCACTGTGCTTTGGATCATTGTCCTGCTGAAAAATGAAATCGTCTTTGAAGCCCATTTTCACCACATTTGTGTAGTTTATTTTGCACAATGTTGATGTACATTGCATGGTCCATTGTACCATTTATAAAATGAATATTCCCCACACCAGAAGCTCTCATACACCCCCAACCGAGTAAAAAAACACCTCTGTATTTCACTGTGGCCTGGACATTCTCTTCGCATTCTCTTCTCAAATTTGGAGTTTCTCTTCCTCCGCGCCACACATCTCCCATCTTGGCCAAGAATTTTAAATTTACTTTCATCAGTAAAAGTAAATTGGTTTAACATTCATTGAGAACTGTTTGAATATTTTTTAAAAAATTATAAGCGATGTTTTCTGCGAATGTCATTGATCCTAAATTTTCTATGTGACACACATCCATGGTACCCACGTTTTCTTAGAAGTATGCGAACTCTACTTGGAGAATTGAATATTCCGGAAGCAAGTTTTGGAACACTAAGTTATGGATATGGTTAAATGTCGCGAACACTTTTCTTGTGTCACGTTCATTCAGCAACTATGGCTGTCCACTTCTGCGATTGTTTGTCACTGTTTTCCTAACACAATACCAATGAATTACATTAAGTGTGTGATATTTTCACAATCTTTCGCACTTCTCTCAAAGATTTATTACGCAAGTGAATTATAATTTTTCTCTCTTATTCACTTGTTTCCTTTTCTTTACGCTCCGTGGTGACATTTGATGAATAAATAATTTATCTGAATCACCGACTGATGATTACCAAAAAGAATATTGATACAAAATCTGTTACAGCTAAGGGTTGACCGGTGAGTCCCGACTGGCAAGGTGAAGGTCACTGTACCACAGACGGCTACGCCGCAGTGACTTCCAGGATAGTCGTTAGTGTTTGATAGTCTGCGTGTTCCAATACTTTTGCTTTCTTTTTCTATGAGATATTTGCTTATATATCTGGTTTCTCAATTTCCTGAACTTCATTCTAAGTGTTTTCTTTTTTTTATTGTAGCAACTTTACTATATAGAATGGATTTAACTCCGCAGAAAATTTGTCATTACTTTTTCTATGTAAAATTTATTTCATATTCTCAGATTTTCAAGGTATTCTAATACTTTTGACACTCAGGTAAATGTGACATTGGAGATCTTGTTTGAAGTTGTATAACTATTGTTTACAAACATAACCACGAGATCGAGATACTCCACAGCCAATCATATTTACTGTAGCATTCTGGCTAAGGAGAACACTCGACGAATCCGCCAATTCTCAGATGACCACGGTTTGTGAACAAGAACAGAGAGTTATCTGAGTATTAACCTAATCCTCGATTCGCAGATTATTTTAGAAATAATCCATGACAGAGAATACGGCCGTTAAACACTAGTTTTAAAGGTAAATCGGAAGTTGGCGGTGTCCCGGTTTACGCGCACGCAAATGTGACACTTCGCTACGCTTGCCCAACGAGGCCCAGAGGACCTTGGTTTGTTAATAGGTTGAAGCTCTGGCCTTCGGCCCTCGGGTTAATATAAAACATCCTTGAGTCTGTCCAACGAATGATTACCAACGCATTTTATGCGAATACTCATCATAAAAAATCATTTGGCGGATATGTGTATGTTCCGCCCATTTAAATGTTTCTCGAAATAATATAAACGATTCCTGTCGGGTGAACGATAACATTCCTTCGCTCCGATTGAAAGAGAAGCAGTTTGCGTCACGGCACAGTAATCGAGGAAGCCTAGGCTAAGGAGGAAGCTAAGGCGCGCCGTAAATTCGGGATCAGTCAAAAATTGTTGTAGGGCTAAATATCACTGCAGACAAGAAGCGATAGAGGCACAATAAGTGGTAAACTTCTTAAGTAATAATTAAGTGCACGAATTTTCTTTGAAAA